CTCTGTAAAAAATCAATAACATATATTTAAAATATATATATATTTAAAAAAATAACCCATTCATGCTGTCTCAGGCCACATAATTCATGGTGGCTTGTGACACAGCAGGGAAGCCCAAGCAGTGACCTCCACTGTGAGAGCTCAGGCCCCTGATCTCCGACCAGCTCATCCCCGAAGGCAAGGCAGAGATCAGCCACCCTGAGCCCAAAAGGCGGGACCCTGTGCTGCGGTCACCGCGGTAACCAGGTGCCTGGGGCGTCAATGAGGAAGCGCTCAATTCACATGTTCCCGCAGCAAGTAGCTGCTGAGCCCAACGGGGGGCTGTGTTCATGTGCGGGGGTTTTTGTTTGTTTTTAATGAATAAAGGAGCAGCTGCATGAAAGAAAAAGACACCGCTTTCACAGTGTCTGACTTTGGTCTTTATGCGCTACCTTCCGTCCCCTCCTGAAACACACAACCGAAAGGAACGTAGGAGAAATGGCGTCTAGTCAGAGTGGAGACAGCTCCAATGGCACGCAGGCCCTCCAGCCACGGAGGCGCTGTCTGTGTGACTGAACGCACAGTTCCTGGGGCACACACACACACACACACACACATACACGCACGCACACATACACGCACATGCAGCACCTGTCCCAGCCCCTCCCGTCCCTCCTCTGTAAGGATCAAAGCAGCCTCCACACACCTTCCCTGTGGCTCTGGGCCTGGCCTCCAGGGTCTTGGAGGGGCCACAAGGCTCAGCCCTCCAAGTCCCCGAGCGCCCAATGGGGTCTGCACACCAGGCTCATCTGTCGGGTCAGAGGAGTCCCTGCTATGGAGGCCCCTCAAGAAGCCTGAGAATTGGGCACTGCTATTGACCCATTGCACAGATGAGGAAACAGAGGCCCAAGGCCACACGGCGAGGACACCGTGGAGCCAGGATTCAGACCCAGACAGTCCGGGTCCAGAGCCCACAGCTGGAGCCATATGCCTGAGCCCGTCCCATCCGGGCACCCGCCCTGCGCGGGTTCCCATTCCTCCAATTCCCCGGCTCGGGGCGCTCAGGACCGGAGCGGGCCTCCCGGGAGGACACCCCCAGCCCTCACGGCCCAGGCGGAGCCCACACCCCTCACCTTTCTCCCGCAGGTACGTCACTGTGAATCGCAGCACCGGGGGGATGAGCTCGCCTCCCGGGACACCCCCAGCCCTCACGGCCCAGGCGGAGCCCACACCCCTCACCTTTCTCCCGCAGGTACGTCACTGTGAATCGCAGCACCGGGGGGATGAGCTCGCCTTGGTTTTTGTCTTTGAGGCTGAGGGGAGAGAAAAGACGGCAACAGCTGTCACCTGGGCTCGATGGGGGATCGCGACGGGGCTCTGGTCCTCGCCCCACCTGCGGGGAAGCAGGACCGAGGGCCCCGCGGAGGGAGACGCAGCCTCGGCCTCAGGAAGCAGGTGGTCTGGTGGCCAACGAGTGGCAGGAATAATACAACCGAAAGCGCGGTGTCGCCTCAGAGGGCAAAAGGGGGAAGGGCATTCCAGACGAGGGAAGCACAGAGGGGAAGGCCCAGAGGCGAGGAGACGTGGCCCTGAGGGCAGAAGCAGGGACCCGATGAGTAGGAGCCTCAGAGGGCAAAAGAGGGAAGGGCATTCTAGACGAGGGAAACCCAGAGGGGAAGGCCCAGAGGCGAGGAGACGTGGCCCTGAGGGCAGAAGCAGGGACCTGGGTGGATGCTGATCAATCAAAAAACGTCCGCAAAGAAAACCCGAGTGTGGCCTCAGAGGCCTGTTAACACTCAGCCTCTGGTTGCGCTAATCTGATACCGCACTGTGTACAACATACATGAAAGGCCCTCCCAGACACGGACACGGACACAGACATGGACACGGACACGGACACGGACACGGACACCGAAACAGATATGGACACACACACAGACATGGACACAGACATGGACACGGACACAGACATGGACACAGACACACAGAGACATGGACACACACAGACACACAGACACGGACACAGGCACGGACATGGGCACGGACACAGACACACACAGAGACACAGACACACATAGACACGCAGACACGAACACAAACACGGATATGGACACGGACATGGACACAGACACACAGACACAGACCCGGACACGGACATAGACACGGACACAGACACACACAGACACAGACACGAACACCGGCACGAGCACAGACACAGACACACACAGAGACACAGACACACATATAGACACACAGACATGGACACGGACATGGACACGGACACAGACAAACAGACACAGACACGGACACGGACACAGACACACACAGAGACATGGACACGGACACGGACACAGACACGGACATGGACACAAACACGGACATGGACACAGACACGGACATGGACACAGACACACACAGAGACACAGACACACACACACACGGACATGGACACGGACACAGACACACAGACACAGACACAGACACAGACACGGACACGGACATGGACCCGGACACGGACACAGACACACACATAGACACACAGACACGAACACGGACACAGACACGGACACACATAGACACACAGACATGAACACAGACATGGACACAGACACACACAGACATGGACACAGGCACAGACAGACACACTGACACAGACACACAGACAGACACTCTCCCCCACAGCTCATTTGGCAGAATCAGGATCTGAAGCCAGAGAGAGAGAGAGAAGGAGACATCGATTGGTTGCCTCCCACATGTGCTGAGAATCTAGCCTGCAACTGAGGAATGTGCCCGTGACAAGGAATCGAACTCGTGACTCTTCGGTCTGCGGGCCGACGCTCTAACCACTGAGCAGCCAGCTAGGGCGAGCTTGTGATTTTTTAAAAACAGGAGGAACAGAGAGGGAGGGAGGGTCACCTGAAATTACGGTGATAACAGGGAGGGTGGCACCCAGGCTGCTCCCACCCTCTGAGCCGGTCCTTCATCTCTCACCCCTCCCATCCTCTGAAGCGGGATGGATGGTGCAGCTCGCATCACGATCGGCGAAGGTCTCGGCCACAAGCCAACCGGGAGGGCCTGGGTGCCGCCAGAACTGGGCGTTGCCTCCCACATGTGCTGAGAATCTAGCCTGCAACTGAGGAATGTGCCCGTGACAAGGAATCGAACTCGTGACCCTTCGGTCTGCGGGCCGACACTCTAACCACTGAGCAGCCAGCTAGGGCGAGTTTGTGATTTTTTAAAAAATATATTTTATTGATTTTTTACAGACACGGACACAGACACAGACATGGACACAGACACACACAGATATGGACACACAGACACACAGACAGACACTCCCCCACAGCTCATTTGGCAGAATCAGGATCTGAAGCCAGAGAGAGAGAGAAGGAGACATCGATTGGTTGCCTCCCACATGTGCTGAGAATCTAGCCTGCAACTGAGGAATGTGCCCGTGACAAGGAATCGAACTCGTGACTCTTCGGTCTGCGGGCCGACGCTCTAACCACTGAGCAGCCAGCTAGGGCGAGCTTGTGATTTTTTAAAAACAGGAGGAACAGAGAGGGAGGGAGGGTCACCTGAAATTACGGTGATAACAGGGAGGGTGGCACCCAGGCTGCTCCCACCCTCTGAGCCGGTCCTTCATCTCTCACCCCTCCCATCCTCTGAAGCGGGATGGATGGTGCAGCTCGCATCACGATCGGCGAAGGTCTCGGCCACAAGCCAGCCGGGAGGGCCTGGGTGCCGCCAGAACTGGGCAGCGCCCATGAACATCACAGAAAGCACCCAGCGTGAGGGCCTACTGTGCGCCTGGCACGCTACTAAGCCCACTGGCTTCATCACAGCGCCTCCCGTTTACAGAGGACAAAGCAGACCGAGAGGCTAGTTGTTCTATCTGCGGTCACACAGCCTAGGGTTCAATCAAAGCAGACTCCCAGCCCCTGTCCCTGGAGCAGCCCCAGGCTTGCGTTCTGAGGCGGGGGTCTGGGTGCAGTGGGGGTGCTGGGAGGTGGCCCAGGCCCTGGAATGCTGTGAGTCACCTCTGCTCAGCTGCCCCCCTCTTTGGGAGGCAAATGGGCAAAGAGAAACAGGTTTGCTTCATCGGCGAGACCAGGCCCCCAAACTCTAACGGGTGGGGCTTCTGGCAAGTGAGGCCGGCACGTGACCTGAGCCGGAGCCTCAGGAGGCCTGATTCCCCCCACTCCCCCCACCGCCCCCCACAGTTTCCCAGGTGGCGTCTCACACTCTGCACAGCCACCGGGTGCCGGGGAGACCACAGACGCTTGTCCCCCGCCCGCAGCCACCCTTCACCTCTTCCCTTGCAGGAGCGTGCCCTGCTCAGCGAGGCCTTCACTCTGCGAGAGAAGCAGAGGCCAAGGAGCCACGCGGTCCCGCTCGCCAATGCACAGAGCATCCCCGAATCCGTCACCATCCGTCACTAACAAAACAGGGCGGAACAGGTACAGCGAAAACTACAAAACATCCTGGAAGTTTTGAAAAGGTCCCAATAAATGGAAAGACCGCCTGCGTTCACGGACTCAAATCGAAATATTGCTAAGATGGCAAACCCCCAAACTGACCCGGAGGCAGCACCATCCCCACTGGGAGCCCTGCGGCCTGTGCTGCAGACTGACAAGCAGGTTCTAAAATTAACATGGAAACTCGAGGGACCCAGAATAGCCGGAACGATCCCGAAAAAGAACAAAGTGGAGCACTCACACTTCCGATTTCTAAACCTACTAAACGCTTCAGTGATAAAGATAGTACGGCATCGGCATCTAGAGCAACAGGGCGGACTTGAGAGTCCAGAAATAAACCCTCACGTTATGGCCGACTCGTTTTCTTTTGTTTTTTTAATCCTCACCCAAGGATATGCTTTAAAAAAAAAATTAGAGAGAGACATCAATGTGAGAGAGAAACATCGATTGGTTGCCTCCTGTATGGAACCCACAACCTATGTATGTGCCCTGGCCGGGAATCGAACCCACGACCCTTCAGTGCACGGGATGATGCTCCAACCAACTGAGCCACCCTGGCCAGGGCTGGCCAATGGGAGAAAAAATAGTCTTTTCAACAAGTGGTTCTCGTTTGTGTGGAGTCATCAGGGAAGGCTTCCTGGAGGAGGGGACTCTGAAGGAGGAAGAAGAGCAGGCGAAGTGCTAGGTGGCAGGAACTGGCTCATATAGTCTGACACCCTGTTGTTAAGCCCCCGTGGCCCTGGAGGGTGAGGGGGGCAGGGGTTCAATTCCAGTTACAGAGAAAGAAACTGGCATTGCTAGCTCGACTTCCCAAAGCTGGAAAGTGCCAGAACTGGGATGTGGCCTCCCCTCCCCCATCCCCAAGAGGCCCCTCCCTCTTCCCAGTGGCCCACCCTGGCCCAGACAGGGCTGCACTAAACACACATGTGCGTTTCCATGCTCCCTCTTCAGGCACAACGAGCCAGCAAGGACCTCCTGAATCTGACTGCCCCGTAATATACGGACTCAATTAGCCTGTTCTAAGGTGATGGCTTTCTGCTGTGTGCTGTGGAACCCAACTCAGCAAATTAACATTTGTGAATAGGACTCTGTTATGAATTTTAATGATGTTTATTCATTCATAGTCCAAGCAAATTACATATTCGGTGCTTTACTTAATATGTTTTTTGCCATTTTATTACAGTGTTCGCAACGAAGCGGCATAAAATATTAATTTAAAGAGCCGATCGCACCGATTCCCTCTCAGAGTGGCCCGCGCAGGTTTTCACAGGTTGTGCGATGCTCCTCGCCACTCCCTCAGGGTACAAGGAGCGGATTTTCACAGTGACGACTGGCCCGGCTGCAGGGTGGGGCACGGCCGGCCGGCGGGCCGTACAAGGCCTGCGAGGTCACGTGGTCTGGCCCTGCCGGCCGAGGCACTAGGGGTGAGTTCATTAAGTGTTTGACCAAACATCGCGGGCCAATGTTTCCGTTGATAGTTTTGTGTGGCCTGCAAATGATGTTCTAAATATCCCATGGCCCCTGGCAGAAAAAAGGTTCCCCACCCGTTTGTAAGCATGCACCCGGCTTTTGTAAAGGACATCACTACTGCCTGCTTCGATCGGGAGCTCAAACGCCGTGTCCACACGTTCTGAGGGGCACCTGCTCAAACCCAAGACCACAGGGCCCTGGTGGGCTTCGCAGAGCAGAGGGACCACACAGACTACTGCGCGTCCCCCACACTCGGGTGGGTGGCTTTTTAAAAAGTATATATTTTTATTGATTTCAGAGAGGAAGGGAGAGGGAGAGATAGAAACATCCATGATGAGAGAGAATCACTGATTGGCTGCCTCCTGCAGGCCCCACACTAGGGGTCGAGTCTACAACCCGGGCACGTGCCCTTGACCGGAATCGAACCCGGGACCGTTCAGTCCGCAGGCCGACGCTCTATCCACCGAGCCAAACGGGCTAGGCCTCGGGTGGACGGCTTTTGAAGCCCATGAGGTGGGCGTGCTTTTGGTTTTATATTTTTAAAGGTTTATTAGACAACACGAGACAGAAGTGGTTCTGAGCAACAAAAGAGCGAATCCAAGAGGCGCAGCTGGTCATCAGGGGGAGGGCTGATGACGGAAAGGCCAGTGGCCTCGGCCACAGCCGCCAAGGACCCCCGGATCAGGACACAGCAGCAGCAGCAGAACTGGGGGACAGCCGAGAACAGGCCAGAGGGTGACAGGTGGCTTGAAACTCCCGGGCCTGCTGGCTGGGCATCCCTGGGACCCTCCTCTGAGCCGAGTTCTCACCAGCGCCCCCAGAGGGGACCACAGTCACTGCAGGTGCGTTCCCCACCCTGCCTTCCTGGGGCCTTAGGAGTGTGAGGTCACACCCTCACAAGAATGGGCCACGCCAGCACGTTTTTACAATATTTAAAAAAAGAAAAGGGTGCCCTGGCCGGTGTGGCTCAGTGGTTGGGCATCAACTCATGCACCCAAAGGCTGCCGGTTTGATTCCCAGTCGTGGCACATGCCTGGGTTGCAAGCTCCATCCCTGTGGGGGAGGCAGGAGGCAGCTGGCTGATGTTTCTCTTTCTTCGATGCTTCTGTCTCTCTCCCTCTCCCTTCCTCTCTAAGATCAATTTAAAAATATTTAAAAAATAAAACTAGAAAGAAGAAGAAGAAGAAAGGACAGGAAGTGCCGTTTGGTGAGCTTTCGTTCCAGTGATATTCAGGGGAGGGTCCCGTTTGAAATAGACTGATTCGCGAAGTGCTTACAAATGTCGCTGAGGGGACCCCTGTGTGCCTGGCTGGGGGGCGGGATGAGCCTCCACGGCCAGGAGCTACACTTTCCATAAAGTTAGACATTCAGTGCCTCACGTGCAGCAGCCACATCTTGAGGTCTCGACAGCCACACGTGGACAGTGCGGACCATGTCTAGCATCACAGAAAGTTCTGGAAAACAACGGTCCATCTTTAACGGTGATGACACACCGAGGCGCCCATCCTACCTCCTCCCTGCACGCCAGGCACCCCCCCTCCCTGCTGCACCTCCCGGCCCTCCCTGCCAGCTCTCAGCCGGTTCCCGGGCCACCTGCCTGGCTGGGGGCGAGGTTCCTGCACACCCCCTCCCCCGCACGCCCCACACTGCCTGCCTCCCATGGGCCCTGGGGGTCCCGGGGGAGAACCCGTTCCGGCCTTTTCCACCTCTGGGGGCGCCTGCTTCCCTCGGCTTGTGGTCCTGCAACGTCCCAGCCCTGCTTCCTGCTTCGTCCTCACATCTCCTCTCCCTCCTCCTCCTCCCTCTTATAAGGACCCTTGTGGTGACACTGGGCCCCCCGACACCCGAGACCCTCAACCAGTCACACTCACACAGGCTGGGCCCTGGGGGTCCCGGGGGAGAACCCGTTCTGGCCTTTTCCACCTCTGGGGGCGTCTGCTTCCCTCGGCTTGTGGTCCTGCAACGTCCCAGCCCTGCTTCCTGCTTCGTCCTCACATCTCCTCTCCCTCCTCCTCCTCCCTCTTATAAGGACCCTTGTGGTGACACTGGGCCCCCCGACACCCGAGACCCTCAACCAGTCACACTCACACAGGCCCTTCTGCCATGTGAGGCGACAGATTCACAGGTTCCCTCGACCGAAACATGGACGTCGGCGGGGGGGGGGGGGGGTCACTGTTCTGCCCGCCACACCCTCCTCTCTGCCCTCCTTCACTCCAGGCCAAGAAGAGAGGAGGGGTCCCCGGGGCCATGTCTGCCGCCCCCTCGCCCCAGAGCATGTGTGAGAGGACGAGGGGTCCCCACACCCAGAGGCCTCGGGAAGGACAAGTGACAAGTGTGAGGTGGCAGGTGAGCTTCCTCCAGCCCCGCCCAGTGCTGCCCAGAGCCTTCTCATGTCTCCGCCTCTCAAAGTGTTTCAGGTCCCGCGAGGGATTTAACAGGTTTTATGTAGGAGAACCCACTGCACAGGACTTTCCAACAGGAAATGGCTCACTGAGGTGGAGCTGAGCAAACTGCTCCGGGACCCCCGCCCCCCGCCTCTGCTTCCTGTGCTTCCTATAGATCAGGCCCCGCCACCCCACGTGGGAGGGTAAGACCTCCCCTTTGCCTTCCCCCAACAGTGCCAGGCCTATGGCTCAAAACAGAGGGTAGGAGGATGGACAAAGAGCTCACCACCGAACCCAGAAAACAGCCAGAGAGACTCCCCACACAGCCTGGGGATCAGGCTGCCATCAAGGAGGGCCCTGTGTGCATCAGGGAAGGCTTCCTGGAGGAGGTGCCACTGCTGAGTCTTAGAGAGAGATGAGGTGGGCCCGAACGGGTGGCCCAGAGTCCTTTACAAGGTGGTGGGAAGTGTCCCGGCCGTGGCCCGGGACTGGGGCCAGAGCTGCCTGGTGCGCAGCAGTGATGAAAGTTGGGAGGACCCTGGGGCCCTGGTCCTCTGCCTGGGACACAGACACACACACACACACACACACACACACACACACACACACGGCGCAGGCATGCGGCTCAGTCACACGTCACTCTTCCTGCAGGACTAAGCTTGGCGACCGGAGGCAAAGGTCTGGGGACGACCTGCCCACACACAGGGCGTCCCAGGGCCCCCCACACACAGGGGCGTCCCAGGGCCCCCCACACACAGGGGCGTCCCAGGGCCCCCCACACACAGGGGCGTCCCAGGGCCCCCCACACACAGGGGCGTCCCAGGGCCCCCCACACACAGGGGCGTCCCAGGGCCCCCCACACACAGGGGCGTCCCAGGGCCCCCCACACACAGGGGCGTCCCAGGGCCCCCCACACACAGGGGCGTCCCAGGGCCCCCCACACACAGGGGCGTCCCAGGGCCCCCCACACACAGGGGCGTCCCAGGGCCCCCCACACACAGGGGCGTCCCAGGGGCCCCACACACACAGGGGTGTCCCAGGGCCCCCCACACACAGGGGTGTCCCAGGGCCCCACACACAGGGGCGTCCCAGGGCCCCTCGGAGGAAGCGAGGACAGGCCGCGCGGGCTCACTTACTACTGCAGGCTGACACCAAACTGCTGGGTGGGCAGCGGGGGCCGCGGCGGTGGCATCTTGGTGGGAGCGAGTGGCCGGCCCTTGTGCAGGTTCCGGAGCTTCTCGTCGTACCTGCGGGCACAGCAGAGGCCGGCTCTCACCCTGCGGGCAGACACGCGGCCGCGCACGCACACACGCATGCACGCGCGCACACACACACACACACACACGCACATACATGCACAGACACACACATACACCCATTGCCGCAGGGGTTACACAGACGGCAGGAAGGGAAGTCCAACCCCATCAACTGCCCAGTCTCTCCTGCCAACCCCTGGCCACTGTGTCACCCACGTGTGTCTGCACAGGGACAGCCTGCTCTCTGGCAACGCCCTCCCGGCCACTGTCCCTGTGACACTGCTCAGGAGTCGCCTCCTCCTGGGAGCCTCTGCGGTACCCCCTCCCCGGGTCCCTCCCAGCTGGGTTCAGTGCCTCCTGCAGCCCTCCCCCCTCTGGTCCCTCGCAGCTGGGTTCAGTGCCTCCTGCAGCCCTCCCCCCTCCCGGGTCCCTCCCAGCTGGGTTCAGTGCCTCCTGCAGCCCTGTTAACACTGGCACGGCCCCGACCACCTGGGAGTGTCCCGAGGGCAGGCGCTCCCTGCACTGCTCCACCCCAGCATCTGGCACTGACTTGGTGCCCAGAGGGAGCCCAGCATCTGCACGCCCTGCGAGGCTGCTGGCCTCAGCTGCATGCAGCTTGGCGAGGGCCCTGCTCCTTCAGAGGAGACCCAGAGAGGGAGCTGCAAAGGGCACAGGCACCAGGGAGGGTCAGAGGGCACCAGGGAGGGTCAGAGGGCACCAGGCAGGGTCAGAGGGCGCCCAGGCAGGGTCAGAAGCATCTGCTGGATCGGGCCCCGCCCTGTGCTGGCTGGGGGGTGAGGCCACCACACACCTTCCTGGGCCCCCCTGCCCCCTCCCCACATGAGACGGGAGGGGGTCGCTCGCTGCGTGTGAAACAAAGCAGCAGACACACCAAGGGGCTTTCAGCAAACGCCACCGGCCCCGTGGGTGTCCAGGGCACCGGGATGTCCTGAGAGCATTCGGTCCCCACAGCGTCCCCACACCCTGACTGCCCCTGACTCCGGTCCCCACAGCGTCCCCACACCCTGACTGCCCCGACTCCGGTCCCCACAGCGTCCCCACACCCTGACTGCCCCGACCTCCGGTCCCCACACCCTGACTGCTCCTGACTCCGGTCCCCACAGCATCCCCACACCCTGACTGCCCCTGACTCCGGTCCCCACAGCATC